TTACGTAGACCCGACTGTCGTGGGAACGTCTATTGTATTGTGTTGTGGTGCGGTTGTGTTTGTGTTGAGTTCTCAGGCAGACTCTGTTGTGCCGTGGAGGCAGCTCGATTTGTGCAGCAAGGGGCCACGTATGCGGTGGTCCCCTGCCTGTGAGTCGTAAGGCCTGAACAAACTCGGAGGTGGATCCACCCATTACATGTGTTGCATCTAACGGAGGTGGAGTTGTGGTGTAGTCGCTTCTGGCACACGCAGCAGGTATAGGTTTCTGGTCTAGGGTTTGACTTAATGCCAGCCCTGAGCAGAAGTATGCGAAGTCCTATGGACGTACAACTTTTAAGGGATTTCGCCTTGGGCGGGTAAAACCCGAGTCATTCCGGTACGTAGAACCGGTTGTCTTGGGAATGTACTATGGAACGTCATGTACGACAGTGTCCAGCGCCTCAATGCTCCCAACGGTACCAAAACAATCGGCTTTGCGGACGATATCGCATTAGTCGTCACTGCTCAACATCTTAGCGATATTTGTGAAATAGCAAACGGAACTATAGCGTCCATTCAGTCGTGGCCTAGGCAAAAGGGACTTCAGCTCGCGGAGCAGAAAACAGATTCAGTGCTCATATCCAGCAGGAAGAAGTTGGAGTCCGTCACATTAAAAATCGGCGACCACAACATCACTACGCTGCTAGCAGTTAAGTACCTGGGAATCATGATAGACAGGAGGATATTGTTCAAATTCCACCTCGAATACGTCAACGAAAGAGCATCGGCTACAGTAATAGCACTACCGCGGATAGCACGGCAGATTAGATGGAGCAATGCAACAAAGGTCCGCTGGACATATCGCTGCATTCCAGATTTGAAAAGCTGGATGACAAGGAAGCATGGTGAAGTCGATTTCTATCTGACACAATTTTTAGCAGGGCACGGATGCTTTAAAGCACAGCTGGGCAGCGTCTCTCCGGCGGGCGACTGCGCAGCGTATTCGCGTATACATACACGCTCTGCTTGGGAAGACAGCGAAAACTTCATTCAACCGCACGACTTGTTCGCACGCACCTTACAAAAATGCTCTGCTGAAGCTGCACACCTCTGCTTTAAAGCATACCTTCACCGATTCAAACACGAAACGACTTCTGTGGAGGTGACGCAATAGAAGACATCCACCACGTCTTTTTTGAGTGCGGGCGATTTAACAGCACCAGTGCAAACTTCGCAATATAGCTGGCATGAACTACACGCCTAGGTCACTCGTAGACACTATGCTACAAAGCAGCGAAAAATGAACCATAGCAATTGACGCTATAGCAGAGGCGATGAAGAGACTAAGGACCCCCTACGATGTAATGCTTGACGGTGATCCCGTGGGGTGAGGAGTTCGACGAAACAACGGGCTTGTCCTGGTTTCATAGGGCCACTTGAGAGTAGTGCGCTACCACAACGCTCTAAAAAAACACAATCATGTGAAAAATTATAGGGACACGATATTTTTACCAGTTTTGACATATTTTATTTTGTTTATTTTTTTTTTATAAAAACGCAGCTCATTGACTATCGAAAACCATATACATAAGTCTAAAGGCGTAAATTTGTGGAAAAATTAGAAAAACTCAAAACAAATTTTACTTGAAACCATGATAAAAATATAGTAAGGTAGAACCGCTGAGAGTCACTTTTAAAATTCTTGACGTTTCCAAACAATTTAATTTTTAAATTTACTCACAAACTCACACACACATTTTCATTTTCAATCTCAAGCAACAACAATTTCGAACAATTTCAATTTTTTATTTTCATTTTTATACGATTTTAAAATGTTGGCAAACTTCACAAAAAAAATCATGGCCGACAAATTGAGAGAACGGTTCTACCTTGCTATGTTTTTATCATGCTTGAAACTTGCCCTTTATTGAGCTAAAATTTAATGGGCTAGAAAACTGCATACTCTTGAATTTTTCTACAAAGTTTGCAACTTTTATAAAAATATAATAAACAATAACGAACAAAAGAAGGATTGTCAAAACTGGTGAAAATATCGAGTTTTTTTATTTTTCACAAGACTGTATGTATGTCTGGATAACCGATTTATTAATTTTTACCAAACTCGGTACGGTTCTTGCCCTGGTATGCTGAAATTTTTGAAATTGCACTAAAATTACGCTCACTTCCCACATATCGGCAAATTTCACGAAGTACGAAAACTGCGATATTTCAATAACAAAGGACCCCAATTTAAGCTAAGTTAATACTTAGAACAATCTCTTAACAAGATTTTCACCAATGAGTTCATGCAAGTCTAACTGAGCATATTACCGAAAATATTTAAAATTGTATAAAAGTAATTTACTGATACATAATGTTCGGTTTTGATCAAACTTATACTGTTTTATTTTTTAACCGACTTCATAAAAAGGAGAAGGTTATCAGGTTATCAATTCCTCGGAATACTTTTTTTTATGTATGTTACCCCACAACTTCGGACCATGCTAACCAATTTCTATAAATGGAGGGTGGAACCTCAGAGGTGGTCCCATACTAATTTGGTTTAGATCCGATAATTGAATCGTGAAGAAATAAACGGAATTGAAGCTGGTTTTGTTTAAAAATTACTTGTTCTTTTGTTAAATACTGTAACACCATGTTTGTTTACTAGATAGAGAGTATTCTTCTCATCAATCTCCTCTAATAATTGTAATTTTTTTTTTTTTTAATAAAGTAAAATTTTTTTACTGCGTATAGCGTATAACATAAAGTATTTATGAACGTATGTATGATTTAAGATTTTAGATATTTTTTTTAGTGCTGTTACTGAATAAAAATAACACAAATCCAATTCCCAAACCGTTGCACCGAACCGAAACCCCGGTTCAAAGCACAAAAACAACAAAAAAAAAGTTTTGGCGAACCAATCCAAAGGTGCAAAAACGGTTCGAACCGCTGAACCGAAGCAGCCAAATTTTTTATCCGGTTCGGTACTTACGGGGACTTACTAACTTTTTTAGAACTCAAAAAACACAATTAGCTACATACATATATTACGAAAACTGTTCAACTTACTTAATATCAGTTTTCATATTCGAATTCAGAGACAAATTTAATATGGGGAATGACAGTCAAAGGCCACAGCTAAACACTTTTTTAATTTGTAATCTAATATTTTTCCCCAACATAAAAGAAATGCACAACTGCAGGAGTTTAATTTTTAAATGTTTACATATATCTTTTCACATGTGCATATGCAGGGTACGAAAATAAACTATATTGTACGTTACTATTTCGTTTCGTTTATTACCNCTGTCCCTCCCATGATTGAATGAAGGTGACGTTAAAAAAAAAATATGAAAACAATTTGCTAATGTATTCTTTGGGACAATATCGCTTAAAACATATGAATAAATATTCCTGTACATTTATACACTGCCGGAACAAAGTATTGGCACAGCAAATTTTTCACAATATATGCAACAATTTTTATTGTAATATTTTTCCGCCAATTTTGTATAAAAATATGGTTCATTCACCAACAAAAAACATACAAATATAATTCCTAAACTTTGTGCAAAACTCGCGAAAATTCAGCAAATTTATCAGATTTTTTAGAATTTTTTCGAGTATGCAGTTTTGCAGCCCATTGAATTCTAGTAAAAAAATGCAAGTTCGGAGTTAGTCAAAAATAACGTTGATTTTTGAGAATTTTTTTGTTGAAGGTGTTTTGCATTTTTTTCCATATAAAGTATTTTCGAAAAAAAATTTTTGTATGGAAGACTGCGTGAAAAAAAAAAATCGGTAATTCCTAGCTACTTAAAACTTGCACTTTATTACAATAAAATTGATTGGGCTACAAATCTGCATACTCAAAAAAATTCTAATTNGCAAAACTCGCGAAAATTCAGCAAATTTATCAGATTTTTTAGAATTTTTTCGAGTATGCAGTTTTGCAGCCCATTGAATTCTAGTAAAAAAATGCAAGTTCGGAGTTAGTCAAAAATAACGTTGATTTTTGAGAATTTTTTTGTTGAAGGTGTTTTGCATTTTTTTCCATATAAAGTATTTTCGAAAAAAAATTTTTGTATGGAAGACTGCGTGAAAAAAAAAAATCGGTAATTCCTAGCTACTTAAAACTTGCACTTTATTACAATAAAATTGATTGGGCTACAAATCTGCATACTCAAAAAAATTCTAATTAAAATCTGATTAAAAAGTTGAAAATTTTGATGAAAATTTACTGAATTTTCGCGAGTTTTGCACAAAGCTTAGGCATACATATAAAACGTACCCTATGGTACAATTGTCACAAACAAAAAGCAAACGTTTCTCGTTGGGGAAAATGACAGTGAATCTTACAATTTGTTTCTCACTATGTACAAAACTGTACAAAGCCACAAATGATATGATGATCGATGAGCAAGTGGGAATTGTTTTGTACAGTTTATTTTCGTACTCTGTGCATATGTATGCATTAAAAACGCAACGTTTTAAATAACATGCTGTTGAATGACAAGAGGAAAGCTTGGCTCATGCTCCAAACTGTGATTGATTAGCACTTTTAGAATAAACATTTAAGCGTTAAACTAATGTAAAACAACTGAAAATTTAATTCTACTAAGCAGCACGGGAAATCTGGTGTTTCAATCCTTTAATGATTAATTACAATGGTGTCATATGTAATTTGAATATTTATTAAGGGCGCAATGGATAGGTGATGAAATTACTCTTCTGATTTTACTTTTGTTTTGATACAAAATGATATCAATAAAGCAAATGGTTCGGATAGCAGAAAAAATTCTTTTCGCGGACTGCTTCTATGCTAACTTGATTATCTCTACTTTATTCTTTATTCACATCCCACGCAACTATTTATTGATATGCACAACAGACCCAAGGTCGTAGTGCATATCCTCCATTATATCTTTGTTGATATCATTTTGACCAAACGCATTATGTGTACGTTTCTAAGAATATATGTATGTATGTATTTATAAATACTCGTATCAGTTACATACCTATTTTGGTAGCTGTAATACTTGGCATCACGGGGTATTGTGCAAAGTTGTTTTCCATAACAACATAGCACCTGTGGATTAAATGTGTATTTACGTCCACAACAGTAGCCCAAAGCTTGCATCACTGGGTCAATTTCTTGCTCAAACACTTCGGATAACTGCAAATAAATTTATATGAAATGAATGATAAGAACGGAGGTCACTCGGAATTTGTTTAGAGTATATGTTTCTTCCTTTTTTATATATTTTATTTTGTGAAACTTACTTTTGTGCAGTATCGGTAGACACGAGAGGTTTTTCGATTGTAGAGCCAAGCATTATCAAACATAAGCCAGACATCGTCGACGTACTCCCAGGGATCATTGTATTTCCCATTCATGAGATTGTTGCGTATGGTACCCAAGTCCATTGGCTTCTTAACAATGTCAAAATAATCTGGTATGCCAAGCATTTGCGGATCCACGGGACAACGGAAGGGCGCTGATTCCGGTTCATGTCGTATCAACTTATCTAAGGTTGGTAATAGCGCCTGTTTTAGCTCCTCGGGATTAAATACTGGAATAGAAATGTGAAAATGTGTTATTCACACATACAATACATTTATGTAATTTGTCTATAATTGGCCACACCTGACCTCAATACTTACCGCATTTCTTCTTTTTGTCGCCTGCGTTTGGCATAAGTGGTTCTGGTACTACTGGCTTTGTTTCTGACTTTATTTTAGTTTCGCCATCAGCAGCTGCCTTTGCCTCATCTTTACTATCTCCACCGCTGGCGTTTCCACTTCCGCCTACACCATTGGCACCGCCATTATCATCAGTATCCATTGGTTCGGCTTTTATTACAGCATCTCCATCTTCAGTCTTGATTTCAACCTTCACATTGGTGCCATCATTATTTACATTTTTGCCAACACCTGCGGATGATTGCGAGTCCATCTGGGAATTGTCTCCAGCGCCACCACTGCCATCTTCCATGTACTCTTTTTTGATATCATCTTCTTGCTTGATGGAATCTAGCTTGCCTTTAGAAGCGTTACCGCTCTCACCGCCAGAGTCCGCACTGGGTGAAGGTGGCGTTTCATCGTTAGCACGTGCCGCGGCTTCCAATGCGGCCATTTGCGATGACAGATTACTGCTAGAGGAAGGACGCGAACTCATCACAGTCGACGTCGAGGTAGTAGTGGCTGCTGCACTGGTACTGCTGCTGCTATTGCTATTGCCACCTTTACCCATCGATATTTGTTGTTGTTGCTGTTGCTGCTGCTGCGTCAGCGTTGCGCCATTGCTGCTGGTGTTGACGGCGGCACTCATTGGTGGCGCCGCAGACACTGGAGTGGTTGAGGAGGATGCTGTTGATGTTAGTGTAGTCAAAGTGCCACCTATGGACGAACCAACACCACTGGACGCTGCACTAACATTCACCGGCACCGATGTGCCAGATGTGGCCGACGCCGGGGATGCTGCCATAACGGGCGGTGTACTGCTTGCCCGCTCACTCAGTGGCTGCATAAGTGATGTTACGGATGGCGGATTGTTGGAAGGTGTACCTATTGGGCCATTTGATACGAAATTGGGTGACGGACTGGGCGCGGCCACCATACCACCAGTTGCAGGGCCCCCAGTTGTGGTGTTTATACCTACTGAACCTCCGCCGACTAACGATTCCAGACTGGTAGGTGTTGGCGGCATATTACCTACCGAACCGGCATTTTGTTTCTGTTGTTGCTGCTGCTGTTGTTGTTGTTGTTGCTGCTGTTGTTGCTGCTGTTGCTGCGACATTGGCGAAGGGAAGGGATTTTGCTGTTGCTGCTGTTGTTGTTGTTGCTGTTGCATCTGTGCGGCAGCATTGTTAAATGGTGATTGTGGCAATAACATGCCAGCTTGCTGTTGCTGCTGCTGTTGTTGTTGCTGCTGCTGAACTTGCTGTTGTTGCAAAAGCCGTTGCTTCATTAGTTCTGTTATTTGCTGTGGCGTTTGTGAGCCATTGCCGCTGTTTGCATTGATGAACTGTTGTTGTTGACCGGGGACAGGGCTTGTCAGTACATTGGCGACGCCACCAGCACCTGGCTGACCAGGTTGCATTCCCTGAACACCGAAAGGCGATAAAACTGGATTTTGCACGACCATATTCTGCTGTGAGGAGCTCGGCATTACTCCCATGCCATTGTTTGGACTGGGACCCGGAGGACCAACCAGTAAATTTCCTTGCTGCTGTTGTGGGAATTGCATGCGTTGCTGTTGCTGATGCAAGGCCAGTAAGTTGCCACCAGGCGAGTGATTGCGTATTCCTACCATATTCTGACCGGCCTGACCTGGCATCATACCCACGTTGCCGGGTGCTTGAGCTCTTAACTGTTGCTGCATCATGCCAGCAGCACCCATAGGAACACCCTGACCACCATTTCCACCCACAGGACTGATCATCGGTCGGATTTGAGTTTGCTGTGCCTGCGGGTGCCCAGGTGGCAGTTGTTGACCAACCGGCACGGCATTACTTGGCCCAGGCCCTTGGCCGGGACCTGCTCCAGCGCTACCAGATCCCTGTTGTTGCTGTTGCATTATTAACATTTGCTGCTCTTTTCGCTTGATGCGTTTCTCCTCTAATTCCTTTTGTATCTTGTAGATCTTCTCTGCGAGTAAGTGATAATATTCAGAACGTGACTTAGCTGCCTCATACATGTCCTTTTCGACTTTTTCGGCATAAGAAACTAGATTCGCCATACGTTTGTCCGCCATCGTCGTCGGATCTGATGTCGGAAAAATAGCTTGCACAAGTTTGTGAACGAGGTGTTTTCGCAGGTCGGCAGTCACTGATTCACGCCAGTCTCTTTCTTCGCTCCCAGCACTATTAGTTGCGCTGCCATTACCGCCTTGAGATGTTGTCGGTCCACCACCGGGTGCATTATTGCCGGAAGCACCTTGGACACCCACCATGCCACCAGCGCCGCCGCCTACACCCGGCCCAACTCCGGGGCCACCTACATTACTGTTACCACCGACACCTGGTCCACTTGTTGTTCCACTAACAGCCGTAGCATTGCCCATGGCGACATTGTGCGGTTGCAATTTCATTTTGGCCAATTCTTGAGCACTTACCAACTGTTTATTGGGTGGTGGCCCACTACCGGTCGCACCAACCATATCACCTGCGTTGCCAGGGCCACCACCACCCCCCAGTTGTGCATTGTTGAAAGTGGAATTGTTATTGAAGTTGTGAACGTTCACAGAGAGTGGAATGTTTGATTGCTGTTGTTGCTGCCCCGCATTTTGCTGACTTTGACCAGCATTGTTGGCGTTTGGACCGCCAATTAAGCCCGCCAACTGTGGATTGTTATTATGTGCGCCTCCACTGCCGCCCTGTAGAAGCACCTGCTGCTGCTGAGTACCACCATCTGGGCCGCCAGGTCCGCCAATCATCATGCTGTTGCCCAGAATTGTGTTCGGGTTCGAAACGCCAGTTACAACGCCACCGCTCGGTACGCCAACTGGTGCAGATATAACTCGCACGGCCGGTCCGCCTCCCGGCATGCGAATACCTTGCAACTGTTGCTGTGCATTCACCGCATTGTTTTGCAGCATATTAGGGCCTGGTCCTGCGTTGGAGACGCCGGCCTGCATACCCAGGCTGTCGAAACGTCGAATCTCTTGATTTGGATTCTGTGCATTCTGTTGTTGCATTTGTTGCGCAATCTCCGCGTTTGTCTTCATGCCAAGTTGCTGTTGATTTGGACCACCTGCCATACCCGATTGACCGCCCGGTCCGGAGACAATATTCGGTCCGCCAGCATTTTGCTGAGGCATTCCAGGATTCTGCGGTCCACCACCGCCAACAGCATTTCCGTCCGGTTGTTGTTGCTGTTGTTGCTTAACAATACCTTGTAAAGGCTGATTCGCGTTTGCGTTGGCGCTGCTTGCGTTGTTGTGGAAACTCTGTTGCTGCCGGAATGGAAAGCAAATAATACAATCCGAACGTGTGCAAGTCTTGTAATGCAGTAAAATTTGACGGGACGAGGTGCAATGTTGAACACTACATTCTTTACTCTGCTTGCAGTTCGCCATATGCGCTAGGACATCTTGCATGGACTTGCAATAGGGTACTATGCACTTTTCCCGATTCGGGTTGAGCGATTCGCGTCGATTGCACTTGTGCGCATGTAACAGAAGCACCAGCTGTTGTTGTATATGTTTCTTACGTTCCTCCGAAAGGTGTTGGCCGCCACCACCAGAACCACTACCTGCGGGTCCACCGCTTCCACCAGCAGCACCAGCACCAGCTTGTTGTGAAGTGCCCGGTTGTTGTGGCTGTTGTTGATGAAGTATTTGATTTTGTTGTGGGCCACCACCAGGCTGGGGCGCTCGCGGTCCCATGGTCGCTCCGCCCATTACGCCACCTTGTTGGTTCTGCTGCTGATTTGGACCCATTTGCTGCTGTTGTTGTTGCTGTGGGCCGCCCACTAAGCCGCCAGGTGCACCATCATTGCTCACTCCAGCCATTCCCATGGGAACACCAGGCCGATTGCCCTGTTGCATAGGGTGAACACCGGCACGCTGTGCCATTTGCTGTGCTAAAAGTTGTTGTTGTGGATTATTAGGATTTACGCTTAGTCCACCTTGTGGTCCACCAGGCCCTCCATAGTTTCCAACACCGCCAACCGCATTGCCGTAGGGGCCATTGGGTCCCACAGCAACATTGCCGCCAACCATGTTTGCCATTTGTCCTGGACCACCGTACGTAAGATTACCGTTCAACACATCTGATCGTTGAGCTGCACAGTGATTTGATCCCAAACAAATGAGTGTAAAATATAAGATTGTTAAGGGATTCTTTATTGGTAAAATCTAAAGGTTTTTTGCTACTTAAATATGTGCGTATTCATGGTGCAGAATAAATATATCGGGGACTTGATATATTCAATAGGTTAAATCTGCAATTTTCACAGAAACTAACCTAATATAAAAATCCACCCGAACCTTAACTGTCATCGACCTTGTTAAATCTTCTAACCTTATAGTATGTATGTATATCGCTTATGCGTAGAATTAACTATTCGTGTTTTTTACACGCATACGCATCTGCGCTTAAAATTTGTATGGAGCTGTAACCGACAAACTTTATGTGTGCTTATGAATAGTTGTCGATAAAATCAAAATTACTTGTTTTTAAATTGAAATTTTCGATGCGTTTTTTTACTACTTAAGCGTAGATGTATATGCGTGTAAAACAAAAAAAAAGAACACGCCTAATAAGGGCCACGCAAGTAGCGCAAGTGTTTGATATATCCTTCATCCTTTAAAAGTTAAGCATTTTGTAGCAAAAAATTTAATGATTACATCAAGTGGTTGTCAGCGCACAAACGATGAGACTGTCGTGTGTCTTTGGCGTCAGCATTGCCAATGTAATGTTTTTTAGTCTGTTCCACTACTCCTGGACACAGTAAGAAATTGTAAAAAATTACGCATGGCGAGGAATAACTGGTACACAGTTTATTTTTTAATTGAAGGGTATTTTATTGTTAATTTTCCATAGATTTTACTTTAATTTTATTAATTAGTTCTAAAATTGTATTCCTTATTTGCATTTGGGATATTCCACCGTCACGAATGGGACATTTGTACAGTAAAAATGTGCTTTCTTTTTTAAATTTACGCGTTAAGTGTTTGGCCGAGCTTCTCCCCCAATATGTCGTGTGCGTCTTGATTTTGTAACAAAAAACAGCTCAAAAATAACTAAAATATTCAAACTAAAGATTTCTCAGCACTCTTTTGTTTCGACTTTTCAAACAGGTGGCAAACCTTACGAAAAAATAAAAATTTATTGAACATCTATACGTCAAGCTCTTGTCACCTAATTTTTTTAAATTTAATGAACTGTGCAAACCTGATGTCATTAACAAAAAATGCATATTGAGTTATATATGCTATCGTATTCTGCAACTACTATTCCATGTGGGTGTGAAACTCCATCTCGCCAGCTAGGCTATTTAAAAAGTTATAGACGAAGATATTTTGGTTTCCCCATAAGGTTAACATTACAATCCAAATGTTTAAAATGTTTTTTCCCGAACTCAGTTTTTTCGACTTAGGCGGTTGTTGCTTATGACCACAGATTTATATGTAAGGTAATCATTTTAAAAAAGGTGGCAACCCCACTAAAAAAAATAAAAGCTTATTGCACATCCGGGGACCGTATCCTTTCACTTTGTACCTCATTTTTAGTCCAACTTAAGTCTTATAATTTTTTAGATAGATGGCAACCATATAGAAATTCTCTGGCCTAAAGATAATACCTCCATTAAAAAAAAAATTGACAAATCCGTTCATACGTTTTCGGACTAACGTGGTGAACAAATCCCAAATTTGCTTTATTCTATGTAAGGAGGATACATAGATTTCTTCGCTTAAAATGTTAAATTTTGGAAAAATTAGCAAAAATCTAATTATTATTAAGCAATTTTTTATTATTAGTTCGCGTCAGCACTTGTCAGCTTGCTAGTTCTATTTTTTTTAATACGCACTACAAATACATTAAATAACAACAAACAAACACACACACGATATGCACATTAACTAATTCTTATTAAAAATACCTTGACCTTGACTTTTCCATATCTAATTTTGTTTATTTGTATTAACGCAACCTTTCATCACAATTGACTAAAAATTTTGCACCAATTCTGACAAAATAACAGCTAATCATACACATGACTTTGAAAGCGCACTGAAAGCACAGGATTGAAACTTCAAATGTTATTTGGGAAATTTTCTTAGTTAAGATATGTACTCTTATATACATTACTGATATCAAGAATATATTGCTATAAAAATCTTGAATCTATGCCAAAAAAATCCAACTTCGGTCAGTGTGCATAGCAGAACATTTCTTTGTGTGTGCAACTAAAAAACCGACTGCCGACCGCCGTGCTTATTCATACCACCTTTTAAGCGATGGTAAACGAACCACCCCTGTTTGTACTTATGTATCTGTTGAATTATTAAACAGCCAAAAATTATTCATTTCACCCTGGTGACTTTTCTAAGGAACCTATTTTAGGAAGCTCTACTCTAAAGGATAAGTACTGGAATGTAGAGGAAATGCGTAGGCGAGAGACCTACAGAGAATAAATGAGTCGCTATCTTGTAGGGTAGTCAAACAGTACTTAAAGCTTTACACTCACATAGCATACATCTCTGAAAGAGGTAACCTAGCATTATAGAATATGGGCCTGTTCGAGGCACGTAATTAAAGCGGGAAAGCTCCTGTGAAACAGCGATGACTTTTACGGAATACTGCCTCGCGGTCTTACATGACAATACTAAAGTTTGACGCACTGGACCATTGTTCTAAACAATAGTTCATAAATGATCATGTACGCTTGACTATGGCGGTAAAAACCGTTTGCCCGAGTGAGTAAAATAATGATCGATATTTCTTTTTTATATGGAGAAAATGAGGGCCACCCTCAAGAAAAAAAAATTTCAAAAATCAATGGTAAGTCCTAGCTTCCTCAGACTTGTACTTTATTATACTAAAATTAAATGGGCTAAAAAACAGCATACTAAATTTTTTTCTAATGAGTCTAATTAAAAGGTGCAATATTTTAATTAAAATTTGCTAAATTTTCTTTGATTTTGCACAAGGTTTGGAACTCTTTTTTGGGGTTTATGTTGTAGAATTAACCATATTTTTATAAAAAATTTGCGTAAAATAAAATATTTAAAAAACGGTGCCCCGCATTGCAAAAAACTCCCTGTACCTAAACTTTATTGATAGACTATACATAAGCTTTTATTATAACTTTACTATGATTACTTCAAGTCAACAACTTTTTAGTACTCAACACGTACATAATTTTTTTTTTATTTGTATTAAAGCCAATCGCTAAATGCCTGTTTACTTTTTATAAATGGATTAATGAAATTTTTTTAATATACCTACATTGCGCACTTTGGTCTGCTTATATTACATTAACGTATGCAGTTTGATTTTTTTGAAAAAAGGAAGTATGTAATACTGGCAAAGTCAAAGTTGAAAAATACATGTTTTTTTGACATTTCAGCGTCAAATTTTCTTTGGTCAACTCTTTCGTCCTCATTTTTAAAGCGGAGCGAATCGTGAACTTAAAGTAAAACTACGAAAAACTGAATTCAATAGCCTGCTGACTTCCCTACACTTCTTGCCGACAAGCTCGACACGTATGACTTTCCACTCATATATTGGACAATTGTACTGAAAGGGTTAATATTAAAATTTTCGAAAGTAAACGTGTTTTTTCATTGTGCTAAATTGTAAAAATATAAAATTTCCGATAAGAATGTGAAAAATGGTCATTTTTGTTTAAGTATTAATGAATTACAGTGCATTTAAAGTTTTACGAGGCGTCGTTTACTTGTAGACCAGAATTGTCAAAATCGACAAAACCAAAGTAGCGGTATGTCGGACGGCGCCACTTTTGTTCGCTGCACCGTGGTAGAGTATATGGAAATAATCCGTTGGCTTAGTGTGCAAACGTGATAAGTCCACTTTTTTTAAATTTCTCAGGAGGGACAAAAAACCATTTACCTTTGCTTGTTGTTAATATTTTCCTAATCTGTAAATGCAGTTTTCTACCTTAGTTCATCTTGTTTCAGTGCCAATAATTGGCCAATTTCAAAACAAAGCTGTTGCAAACTTATATGGGCAAATCCTAGCGGTGCGGACGTTACGTTAGGACATTTCTTTTACTTTTTTGCCAAAAAATAAATTATAAGATAGCCTTTTTGGTGGTGTAAGAAAAGGTACACAGCAGTACTTATGAGAACAAAATAATGGAAATTTGTATTTGAATTAATGTCTGTGTAGTTTCCTTCGAAGTTTGTGTTCGGACGTTACTGAAAAGGGAAGTGATTTTTATATGACCATCAAATTCAACCGATTGGTGCAAATTGTAATATGTATATGGAGAACAAAGTCAAAAATAATACTTTGAAGAAAAAATAATGAAGTTAACAATATGTATTATAAAACAAAACTAAAGGTTGAATTAACTCTAAAACAATTGTATACGTGCGTTCGGGACGTTACGTTACGGACTTTACCCTTTTTGCCGGTAAATGATATTTGTCGGATTCGCTCATATGCTCTTTTGGGACTTACCCCATTTTCTCTTTATGACCTGTTTTAACTTTTTTTTTGTATTGTTAAAAGATTTAGTTGTTTATTTAAATATGTATTATTATTTTAAAATGAATAATAACCAAATACAAACTTATTGCATTGCTATAAACTAGAGTTGGGCACTTTAGTTCTTTTAAGTGAACCGTTCAGTTCAACTTTTCAAGAACGTCCTACTTCAGAATTTGATTTAAAAACACCCTGGGCCAAGGCACGCAAATACTGCAGCAGTAATGAAAATTTGCAATACAATTTATGCTATCTATGCACCATGCTAGACAGTATGCACCGTATCGTAAATACCCCTAATGAATTTTAAGCTGAGATGGTGTTTTCCAATAAAATTCTGAAATAAGGCGTTGTTCAACCAAATTCTGAAATAGGGCGTTCTTGAAGTTTTCTGAGATAGGGCGTTTTCGAAATGGCTGCTGAGATATATATATATTACATACAAAAGAAAAACTTTGGTAATTTCAATTTACATACATAAAAACGTACATAAATATGTCTTCGTATAAATAAATCACAAATAAACGAGTTCTTACAAAAAAACAACAACTTTAACAAATTCATGGAATATAAACCTACAGTGCCGGACAAAAGTATTGGCACAGA